TCGTCAACAACCTCTACGGCTGGGCAATGTGTCAACCATTGCCCTACGCCGATTTTCGATGGGTCGACGACGTACACAATTTTGATTTTACGACTATTGCGTTAGATTCACCGACAGGCTATATTCTCGAGGTTGATTTGGAGTATCCGCAACATCTTCATGACGCGCACATTGACCTACCGTTCTGTCCGACGCGCGAGAAACCACCAGGCAAGTGCGATAGCTCCTCCCAACGTTATGCGATATGCAACGTTACGTCATACATTATCGTAACCTGCAGCAGTGTACTCGTCACGGCCTTCGTATCGCAAAGGTTCACCGTATACTGCAATTCGCACAATCACCATGGCTTCGCGATTATATAGAACTAAACACAAAATTTAGAACAAAAATGACTTTTAAAAAAATTTATACAAATTTTGAATAACGCGGTATTTGGCAAAACCATGGAGAATGTGCGCGATCGCGTTGATGTAAAATTACTGATAAAATGGGAAGGCAGATACGGTGCAGAGGCAATGATCTCGAAACAAAATTTCCATAGTCGAAGCGTCTTTTCGGAGAATCTGATCGCGATAGAACTGCGTAAGCTCGAGATGAAGTTCTACAAACCGATATACGTGGGCATGTGCATCCTCGATATATCGAAAACGTGTTTGTACGAATTTTACCACGAGTACATGGCACCGGGATTTCGCGAAAAATGCAAAATTATGTATACCGACATAGATCATCACATTCATGAAACGTGATATAAATAGATTTGACACGAGTGATTGCACGGTTGACAACGCGTACGGTATTCCGCTCGTAAATAAAAACGGTCCAGGCCTTATGAAAGATGAGAATAACGGTGCCATCATGACCAAATTCATTGGACTTAGAACGAAAATGTATGCCTTGCGTGTAGAAGAAAAGAAGGATACAAAAAAGTCTAAAAGCGTCAAGAGCAACATTATAGCAAGGTCGATAACGTTCGAGGATTACAAGCAGTGCTTGAACGACGCAATTGAAATGATGCATAGGCAGTCGTGCATAAGATCGAAATTGCACGAGGTGTACACCATACCGGAAACAAAAATCGCTTTAAATCTTCACGATGAAAAGCGGTATATCGTACCAGGTTCCATCGACATGCTGCCATGGGGACATTACGGATGTAAATAAAATACATTTGTCTTGTATAATATATGTTTAATATGTATATAACCTGTATGATATGTTTAATATAATATAATATGTATATGCATATGTAAATATAATACGCGTATATGATATTTATAATATGCATAACAATATTTATATCTTGTATAATAAATATGTTTTACAACACATTGTCTTTATGTATCCACGAATTGTGCGAATTGTCAAATCGCAACCATTTCACGTAAACCTCGTTCCCCCTCTTGTGCAACACTTTTCCAACGAGATGCACGTCGGCGTTAGCGTCGCTATGCAATTCGTATTCGTAGAATCCTCCAGCGATAGGCTCCCCGCGAGAATCTTCCAGTAGATACGTCACTGGATTAGTTTGCTGCACTTTTATAATTTTAAACGCCTCCGTAGTCCAATTCGGTGTGTAACCTTTATCAAAGACTGTCTTGGGTAACGTCGACGGGATGCATACCGATTGTTCGATGCTTGCGCGCGTTGTAATTTTATACGAGACGCGGCAGGATTTCAATCCATTTATAATTTCCGTTGTGCGTAAATTGTTTCCACATGTCGTTCTTCAAGGTACGGTTGAACCGTTCAACGACCGACGCCTTCATTATGGAATTCGTAGAATAATGGTTGATGTCGTGTTTCTTCAAGAATTTCTGCAGGTCCGAGTTGTAAAATTCCTTCCCTCTGTCAGTCTGCAAATTTTTAGGACATCTTTTATCGTCTCGAATTATCTTTGCGATCGCATTCGTCACATCGTTTCCACTCTTGGCTTTAAGCGGCACGGCTCATGCGTGCTTACTTAGCACGTCGATAACGGTGAGAATGTAGTGGAAACCTCTGTTGAATCGTGTATATGAACGCATCTCAGCCACATCCGCCTGCCACAGGTCGTCGTATCCGTGTACTATGACGTACCTTCGCGGAAAATTTCTTCTCGCCGCACACTGGTCTAGAGCGTCCGAATTCCTGGCCAAAACCTATTTTATCGAAGGTCGTTATTTTCGATACCTGACTACGCATTTTCGTAGAAGGCCCTCTGGTGAATATATTTCTAAAAGAAAGAGTCCCAAAATCGTATACCTGCGGTGAAAATGGCCAGTGTTGTCAGAGCGCGCGCCGAGCTCGCATCGCACCGTCCGCCTGTAGCGCAGCTGTTTTTGCATTTTTTGAGTTTAAATAAATTTTACTTTGTGTTGTGCGTCATGGAGGACGTTAATGAAGGTATGTAATATATGATTCAACAGTTATATTAATAATAATTGCATGTAACGCTATAAAAAATGGCGTTAAATCACGACAAAAAAATAACCGAGATAAACGCACAAAATATTGAAAAAAGTTATCATCGCCGAAGATCCCGTGATGTACTCAATGAAAAAGTGTTCTGCATATATTTAGGAACAATATTATGCAAAGATTTCGAACCGAATTTAACCGAGTGGATTGTATTTCAATATTTTGTGCGTTTATCTCGGTTATTTTTTTGTCGTGATTTTTTGACGCCATTTTTTATAGCGTTACATGCAATTATTATTAATATAACTGTTGAATCATATATTACATACCTTCATTAACGTCCTCCATGACGCACAACACAAAGTAAAATTTATTTACACTCGAAAAATGCAAAAACAGCTGCGCTACAGGCGGACCGTGCGATGCGAGCTCGGCGCGCGCTCTGACAACACTGGCCATTTTCACCGCAGGTATACGATTTTGGGACTCTTTCTTTTAGAAATATATTCACCAGAGGGCCTTCTACGAAAATGCGTAGTCAGATATCGAAAATAACGACCTTCGATAAAATAGGTTTTGGCCAGGAATTTGGGCGCTCTAGACCAGTATGCGCCGGAGCGTGCAATTCATTAACCAGTTGTCGTTTCTCAGACATTCTGAATAATTATTCGGCACGATGCACTTCTCGAATTGTCTTTTCAAATTCTTTTAGCAAAACCTGCACATTATTTTGTAAGGCTGCAATCTTTCTTTCGATTTTGTACAGACGATCTTTCAAATCTTGAACACTCTGCTGCACGTATCGCTTGTTTGCTGCGTCAGCATCATCTACCGGTAGCGCTACTTGTCGAATGTTGCACGACTTTGCGTCAAAGTCGGCTCCGACTATTCAAAGAGCGTTATCGCGCACGTAATTTCCGAGCAATCCACGCCACTGATAGTACTATTCTCTTCCTCCTCCTCCAAGTGATGATCCAAACTTGTTGATCGGCATTGCGATATCGACTGAACGATGTGTGTAGAACGACGTTAATTTATAATCAGACCGGCTTCGCGAAGCTCTTCGATAATTAACAAAATCTCGTTGTCGCGACCATTGTGACCAGCCTGGCGCGAGGCTTCGAGCAATCGCAGACGATCTACAATTTCGTTGGGATCGTCCCAATGGATATAATCGATCTTGTTACCGTTTAGTGTCATTGTACGCGGTAAATTCGCTCTTTTGTTTATTCCCCTTCCAATTTTTTTTTCCGACACCAATGGCGCTATTATGTTCTTATACTTGTATCCCTTACTACCCATTACTTGGTTACTCGGGCTATGACCGCGTCTGTGAGCGTTTGTCGTCAACAGAATGCTTCTGTAGGTGTGTACGTCATTATCCGTACAAATACTTTCGTTGGGAAATTTCATGAAAATTAACTCGTACAGGCCCGCTGTTCCATCATATCTTTTCTCATCTATAATTATATCATCGTTCTTGTGCAAGGTGATACGTTTGTCACCGAGCATCATTTCCTCATCGCTGAAATAAACTTCGTACACATCGTCTATGTTGACGGCTTTCTTACCAGTCAGGACCGCTTTCATATATTTCTGTCCTAACGGACAATAGTTTGTTTGCAACTTTTCTTAATCCTCGGATGTTTGAAGCAGGTGTCGAATAGATGTCACGAGCTGTTCATCGGTAACCTCGAAAATTTCTTCGACGGAGGGAACATGATCGTGCGATAACTCATGCGGCTGTATTATTTCAGACATTTCGTTCAAAGCGGGTAGTACGGTTTTCGATCGACAACATTAATTTTACAGGCGTGGAAGCCTGTATAGGATTGTCATACAAAGCACTCGGTCGTTTCCTTTTGGGTTTTGGTTCCTCGTCTTCCCCCGAAAAGATTGTTTCCGTCATGATAGGATCCTCGGAGGAGTCAGTGGTGTTTTCGACAATCTGTTTTAGCGGGTCGATAGTAGGTTTGAAGTGCCTCTCCAATGCGACGACCTCCTCCATTTTACCATTCTTTAAAGCGCGGTACTTTTTGCGAATCGAGTCACTCGTTTTCGCAATCTCCTTAGCTACTTTCTCACGTTCTTTGCTGTTATCCATGTCAACCTATCGATATCAACTGATCGCATCACGGTATTGCAAAGTCATTAAATCCTTTTCTGTATCGTCCATCGGTAACCGCACAGTCCTTGTCAATTACTAGAAATTCATACTTTTGCTGCCAACATTTACGACATAAATCGTAGAAATTCTCGTACGGCATATTGGTATATACGTCATCGTTGTACACGCGTTTCATATTGGTACCATCCTGTTTGAACAGAATCAAGAGATTTGCGTTGTGGCGTATAAGATGCTTCGGAATCTTTGCGTACGTCTGACAGAGATAGAAGCAATCAACGTCCGCTTGTCGTTCCATTGCAAAGTACTCTCTTATCGCGTCCTGCTTGTCGCATGCCGCGTCATCAAAGATAAAGATGGAATTCGGAAGCGCATCGATCGGTGGAGTGACGTCACTGTTATTGGAGAACGTAAAATAGCCAATTTCTTCGATCGGAGCTAGCCGATTTGCCAGGTATCGATATTTCGGCTGTTACAGCGATTTCGAGTACACGTACACATTGCACGAACATTGCACGTAGTATCCTATACTAAATACCTCGCGCTGTTGATATCTGTATGACGCATCTTCCCTACTGGGTTTCGTCTTCCGTAGAACGCACTCCAAGTCAGCGTAAACGATAAATAGTATGCGCTCCTTATTGCAGTGGTTTCCAAATTCGAGCCACTTTTTGTCCTCGCTCGGCAGTCGGATAGCGCAGTCGTTCATTTTTCCACAGTCCATTGCGTGGGACTGCAACCTTTCGTTCGTACTGAAGTAATGAAGACATCTGAAAAAAAAAAACCAAAAATTATAACTATTACCATTATTTTATTAGTAAGACAGAATGTAATAATTTTTTATGTGTATTTACCGATCGCAGAAAAATTTCTTGTGCTCCTTTCTGCTGAGTTGTGAGCTTACGAGACGGGATAGACTTTTTATCCACGCAAAGTGGCCGAGACTGTCGTTACGTGGATCTTGCATGTACAGCATGTTGACGTGCTTCTCCTTCTTGTCGTTGGTGCGTAGAGGAAGGACCTGTTTATTCTTGATGCCGTACACGTTGATCGACGCCGCGTTTAAACGTTCGAATTTTGAAATGTCTTTCAAAGTAATCGGAAACTTAATGTTTGTGAGATTCAATACTGTTGTATAATGTGGATACGAATATTCCCGATCCGCATTTCTTTCTGCGGGGTATAGAGCGGCGACCACCGACCACGCGAAGCACCCATTGTCTATCGTACGCACACTGATCACCCCTCGTTTCGTCGCTATTTCCCGCGGCACTTCAATACGACATCCCGCGCACATTGGATTTAGTTTGTTCACGTTGATAGTCAAATTCAATGTACGTGACAATGCCGACCCGCTGTCGCGTTCTTGGAACTCTTCGAGCGACGTCAACGTGGGCTCAATGACGTGTCGCTCATACCACTCGCGCATATCGGTGCATCGGTATGTCTCAATGTTCTTTGTAATTATGCTCTTATTTGCACGTTTGTTGTTCGTCGCAAACTCACCGTTGAACGCGGTGTTCACTTTCACACTACCATGTCTTTCTACAGTTTCTTGCACTCGCTCGAGCACTATTTCTCTCGCGTCTTCCAAAAACCGCCGCGGCTCGATGTGATTAGAGTTTATCACCACGCCTGTCAATATATGGCTTTAAAACGTGGCGTCGATCTCTCGCCAGACGAGGGATCTTTCGTCACTACTCGTATACTCGCCACTCGCGTACCCTCCATCAACATGCACCAAACGTCGCTCTAATTATGTCTTTGCACTCGCGAGTCGCGCAATCCTCGCCACCACGGATTGTCTGTGTCCAACAGTGAGACGCGGACGCTTGGCACGACAAAGTTCTTCGAGCCGCTCGATGCACTCGTCGCATCGTTGCAGCCACGCGAAACACTCCACCAGAGTAGTGACCTGACCGCACTGCTCCAGCTGTTCGCGTTCCATTCGCTCATGATTTTCCATGTCTTTTACGCAGTCTTTAGATCACGTCGCACTCTTCCACGGAGCACTTGCACGTGACTCGTTCACACGCGTTGCAGCACCGCGACATATCTAGAATGTCATAATGTTCTAGCACCTTGTCATTATGTTTGTTTGCGAAAATGCACTGTTCACACTCAAAGCATTGATCGCTGCATCTATTGAAAAACAGTTTTAGAGCAAATTTCTTATCGCGATCACAAAACTCCATCCATATATTGTTAATAATCAGCAGTTCGACGCACTTTTCACTACCCGCGGGAATCTTAACGCATATGCACCAACGCTGGATCTTATCTGCGATTTTCTTCGCCCAATAATAATCGTTCTTTATTACATTAACATTTATATTTTTATAGTCATCGTTCTTATATTCTTCTCGTAACCGTGTGTACGCTTTCTGTCGCGCGAGTAAAGACCAATCAGAAACGGGCTGTTGTAACTATTCCATATTTCTCACCGCGTATACCTAATTCTCGTTCGCGTAGGAACTGCACCGGCGATATTCGCACACCATTTATGTCTCTCTTTCGCGGATTACCGAGAACATATAGCACATCATCTACGTCACAGTCTTCCCACACATTTTCCACGTCTCGCTCACAATACTGTTCACAATAGCTTTGTTCAATGTGTGCAGTGTGGGCATCTGTTGCATGGACATATAGTGTACACGCACCGGCAGAAATAGTGTCACCTTGGCGTTCGGCGCGCGGCGCCACACACTTGAACCACGATTGAGAGAGAAAGCGTAACTGGACGTGATGCCAGTGATGCACATTTGGCTCCAAGGCAACACGGAATCCAGCCCCACTTTTACCCTCACCTACCGGCATCAAGTCGGCCGCGAGAGCGAGCGAGGCAGCGAGAGGCAGCGCCCGTCCTTTTCGCTCTACCAGTAAATCGTAAACACATGCGGGTGTTACAGCGAAAAGGACGGCCGCTCTATCTCGCTGTCTCGCTTTCTCTGCTAGTCGCTCGTTACAAGCGACCGAAAACCGAAAATGTACCTTCTCGGCCGCTCAGCGTATTCTTGTACAGGGTATCCCGATCTTTTTTGCCAATTACTTTTGTATTCATAGAGCGGATTAAACTGAGTCGAAAAGTCCTCTACCATTTTGCAATTTTCGCAATAGTTAACAAGATATTAATTACTAAAAATTGCAAAATATTGGTCTTGAATAATTTTTTACTCAAATACCATCAACTTTACAGAAAAACTGCAAGAGACAAAAATTATTTATTTTCTTCTCATAAAGTTTTGAGAATTTTTTCAGAATTTTTTATCAGCTTTTTAATACTGCATTTTCTTATTTTTATCAACATGAGAAAATACGGTATTAAAAAATTCTAAAAAATTCTCAGTACTTTATGAGAAGAAAATAAATAATTTCTGTCTCTTGCAGTTTTTCTGTAAAGTTGATAGTATTTGAGTAAAAAATTATTCAAGACCAATATTTTGCAATTTTTAGTAATTA